CATAGTTATGTATGTTATCTCTCTGTATTTCCCAAAATATATTACTTTATAATGTATAAGCATAGCATTTTGATTTTCGATTATTTAAAGGCATACTTTTGTGTGCTTTTGAATTTCTTGTATGATATTATCTACATGATTTTATTTTAATTGTATCATTTAAAAACCAGCATTGAATTAAGACACATGCAGAATTTTAATTTCATCGGTTTGAACTTTTCATTCATTAACGTGTAAATGTCCTCATTATGAAAACACTATGCAGTCACAGGAATAAAACTTTTCTCATTATCAAGTGTCTAACTTGACTCACGTGGGTCAGGCTAGAGCGTATATATTTTACAAAAGTTGTCACAGTGAACTCTGTAAACTTTGTCAAATGAATGAATTAGATTAGTTTCAATCATACTATGACCACAATATATGGTATTGGAACTTCCAGGTTTGTTCAAGTCACAATGTCACATGACTAGTTTTAAAACTACTCGGTGATTCTGTCGACGTCTTAGTTTCTTTCAACATATATAGATATATTTACGCTTCAAACCAAAAATTTATAAAATTTATACAGAGATTCATGCTGGGACTTTTACAAAATTAATGTCATTTTAGCGTGATTCGAGTATATAAGTTAATTATGTGATATTTTTGTCATTAATTTGCCTAAGTATCCCTTTAATATTGTTTTCAGTCAGTATATATATTCTGTGACAATTGCATGGAGATAAATAATCACCACTCTGTGCTTCAGAATTAGCTTCTGAAGGGCATTTTTGGTGACATGTTCGGGAGTCTGTACTCCACAGAAGTATATATATATATATATATATATATATATATATATATATATATATATATATATATATATATATATATATATATATATATATATATATATATATATATATATATATATATATCTTAATATTGATAATAGTGAAATAGAATATATTAAGGACAAATGTAAAAAATGGATATCATCTCTGTTTAAAAATTATTTTTGTTGACTTTAAATTTTATTTACTTAAAACAAATTTTGAATTCGGGTGTATATTGTAACGCCTATGTGGTGCTCTTGTTTCAATTTGATATTCAAAATAAAATATTTATGGATATTTGTGCTATTCGGATATATGTTACTAATTAAAGTTAATATTTGTCCAACAATCACACATACAAACACACGCAAAAAAACGCAAGTTCGCGTGTTAGGTGGCAAAATCTAAAATTCATGATATTATTAAAATATCTTTATTTTTATGTACTAACATGATATATGATAATATTGTGATGTTTAAAACTATCGTTGTTATTTAAGGTATTAGGACCCTAATGGGCACTATTAGGAACTAAAAAATTGACATCATAGGTCAGATGTATACCTTAAAGTACACCTGTATGCAAAATTTAAACAAAGTTTACCGTACGGAAATCAAGTTATGGCCAATTTATTTTCTGAACTCAAGCTAGGATGTTATGAGGGCTCTTTTTTAGAAATGAGGAACCTTTAAATAATCTGCAATAACATTCTAATGAAAAAATGTTTTCCCATTAATTTTTGGTAAGAAACAAATAGTACCATTCAGCTAACAATCCACATAAGCAAAATGATGGTTTCTACTAAAAATTTATGAAATCTGTATAAAAATGTTACCCTACCCCACCCATTTTTACCACGTGTCTGACCATTTTTCTACTTAGGGAGCCTAATTTAAAAAATTCTAAAAATTTACCCAAATGAGTGCCTGTTTTCAAAGTTTCCCTAAATTTTTAAAAATTAAAGTATATTGGTTGATCTTGTAAAATATGAAATACTTTTACCGTCTAGTTTTGATTATATTACACTTTGAAAATATCAGGTACCATATTTATTACTAGATTTAGCACAATTTAGACAATAAATACCTATATATTAAATTAAAAAATCAAAATTAAACACTTTTTTCTTTCCAAATGGGATATGGGAGATACATAAATAATGTTAATAGAAAAAAAAGAAAGAAAAAAAAGTTGACCCTTCTGGGGATTGAACCCATGGCCCTCATTTTCAATGTAGTTAACAGTAGTTATAGCCTATTTGAATACTCTTCAAAGCGGAGGTAATGCATTAGGGTGCTAATACCTTAAATGAAGTTTCAAAAACTGAGTAAAGTCAAATTATATTTGATCCCAAGACGAAGTAGTGGGGGAACAGGGAAAAGTAGATGACCTGGCTGAAGGAACAACAGATGCTTAACCATTTGAGTAATTGTTTCCAAACAGTGATTTTTAACATTTTGGTTCATGAAGCTATATCAACTGAAATGAAATCAACTTGGGACAAAATATGAAAACAAATATCATCAAAGCAAAAGAGGACGACGCTCATCTAAAAATAAAATAAACAATTCTAAGACTAAAACAAACAATTGTCTGCACTTGCACTGACTCACTTTAGGCGTGCAAAAAATAAATGTATGATATAATAAAAAAAATAAAAACTTGTTAGTGTTGATGTTCATTGCGGTATAACCTTCATGTGTCACAAACAAAAACGTATTAATTCAGTGTGTTTGTAGCAACGAAAAAGTAAATATTAAATATTTATTAGACAGCAATTTAAGCAACATTGTAATAACATTCCACTATCATAGTTCGTAGTTACAGACATTATTAATTTTATAGTCTCTAGAGGCATTATCTAAAGCAGAAAAGGGTCTGATAAATGTTACCGCCCTGGTGAAGAACAATCATTGACTTCATAAATAATGTGCGTATTGACGTAAACATTTCCCTAGGCGACAACAACTGATACCAAAATAGTATATCAACTTTTTATTTAAAACATTTCATGCAATCTGATATTATAACAAAACTTTTTAAGCAGCCATTTTAATTTGTACGGTCAATAATTTGCAATTTGTCATGCATGTTAAATATTTATGAATATAAAATTTTTGAAGAGTACCGTATATCGAATTGTTTGAAATAAGCAAGCAATAACCTCGATTCAAGAAATATATTTCAGAAAATAAAACTGATTCTTTAACATTTAACTAAGAGCTCGATTTGTGCAATTCAAACTGAAATAATGATGTTAAACACAATGAAAGGCGGAATGCTGAACAACGACAAAAAATCCAACCAAAAACTTTTCATGAAAACAATATTTAAAAAATAAGATTCTTAAAATGTAAAATTCTATTGTATGGAACACAGTGAATATAAAAAACGTTGTTTCCGATTCGTATACATTGAATATAAAAGAAAAGTAAACGCTAAACAGATAAAGAAATTCATGACGTCACGAAACTTTCACCAATATTTTCATAGCATCATTTTGCAATGCCTGGTTACTTTTATTACAAATGCAAGTGAATATGACGTCAGAAGGTCGGATATTTTTTTAAGTTAATCGTCTTCTTAATGCTGTAACGGATTTACTTCTCCTATAATCTAATAGAAGTTAACTCGTTTCTGAACTAAGGTGACGAAATAATGAACAGAGATAATTGTTTAATATTGCCATCTTGGCCTTCCATTTTTTTTTTTTTTAAATATTCAATGATTCACCTATTTTATTTAAAATATGTTCAATGTTTACTAACAACTTACAAGGGAAACAAAACACTGATGTTTTATAATGTTTCATCAACCCTGTTTCTCATAATTATTCATTGCCAACTAATGAGACTTTTCAACCGCACAACATATTTGCTACAGACCAGTTAAATCATGGTTCAGTTTCAAACAACTTCCGTAATTGTATTGATAATTAAAATGATTTGCAAAAGATGTCAACCAACCAATGTGTGATATTTGAAAATAGAAACAATTCAAACATATATTCATGTTTATTCCGAGAAATATGGAGTTTTGAAAAGGAATTCAAAATCATTTCTAGGGACAATGCTATATGTTACTAATGTTTGCATAAAAAAAACATCAACATGTAATTGCCATGCTTGACACTTTTCAATCAAATTCTTTGTTTGCAGTTTCAACATCCAATAATTTATACATCAATCTTCATTTGAGTTATCATTTGTAAACTCATCAATATAACGACCGTTTCTTCTTTATTCTTATTCAAAACAAATGGTATTAGTCTTGAAAAACAAATCAAGAGAAAAATATTTTAAGATGAAATTTATAGATTCAGGAAAAGGGCACATATTACAATGGCTTATCAGAAACGGAAAAGTTAAATGTACTTTCAAACGGTTTTACATTAAAGGATACAGTCATATGCTCAAAACTTAACAGAAAAATACAACAACACTAAATTCAAGTGCAGGGCAACATTTTACAGCTACCACACGGTACTTGACACCTGCTGTTGCGATGTTTAAAGTAATCGGCTGACGCTTTTCAGAAAAATCGACGTCCCACTATCAGAGCATTATGCAAGAACCCAGATCCGGGCTATTGATTTATGTTAAACAATGGCTTTATCTTTGTGTGTGCGTGCGTGCGTGTGCGTGTACGTCTGCGTGTGCGTTAACATCCTTTCTGCGGTACTGATATAATAAGGTAACCAGACATCAGTGCTATGTTGACAACTAAGGACGTTAATGAGAATAGAGGACGTACGTCATAGGCATTAGTAACGCGCAGCAGTTACCGTTGCTTTGATTAATGCAAATGCCTACATGTCTGTAGCCACAATAAAAAAGTTTATGGAAATAGATTTAGGTATGATTATACTGAATTCTGTAATTTTCTATGCAATATTAATTATTTTGCAGCCCCCGTGACTTTACTCCTGAATGAGTCCTCGAACTAATGATTTATCTTCCTTAGATGTTGCATTACTCAGTTGTACATAAGATTTAACTGAAGTACTATGGCTTATGTAATTAAAGAGACATTATCGGTATCGACGGGTTTGGTAAAAAAAGTGTTTGCTTGACGTAGATAGCGATATTTTACCATTTTTAAATATAATAATTGTGTCATATAAATGAAATAGCTAAACACTTCCGGGAATTTTACATAGATTGTTTCTTGCAAATGAAATATTTCATCTCTAGTAAACATTTCATTTAAAGGCATGGCTATGATTGTGTTAGTTTTGTTAACATTTTTTTCAAGTTTACTGCAAGTTATAAAAGGACATAACGAATCTTTCATGTTCGAAATATACTCAACCAATGAAATCAATGGCAACGAAATATTTACGTTTTATCAAATTTCTGTCAGTGAATGTGTTTTCAAATATGACAAAACGTATGGTTGTTTGTCTGTGAACTTTCACCAAGGAAACAAGACGTGTGTTCTCACCGACTACTATCCGAACGACGGCACAAAGACAGAAGTTTCAAAGGCGGGATGGATTATTTATTTTCGAAGGACGTTCGGTAAGACTTAAGCTAAACAGAGTTGATTAAGATATGAATGTTTCTTTTCAGGTAACTTATTAGAAACGATGTTAACTTTCACTTATTCAATCAGGTATTCAATCTATGCCGATCAGCAAAACGGAAATAAAACATTTTTAACGTGAATTGAATCATATTAATCGGAATTTTATAAAATAGGAAACATTCTGTTTTAGACTAGCAAGTAAGAAAAAAGGAAATAATGTGTTTTGAGATATTACCCTTTGAAAAGGTCACTTTTTCAAACATTGCTCGTCCAGGGTTTATTAAACCGATTTCTTAAATATATGAATAAAAATTACATGTATTAATATTGTTTCTTGTAAAGACATTTATTTTCTCCAATAAACCTTTTTTAACAAAGCTTGTTTGTTTGTTTTTAAATTAATGGATGACATTATTTAAACTTTTTATTATACATGTATTTGCTATAGATTGTGCAGCAATCTTATAATCAACATTTATAAATTATAATAGGTCTCTAATTTGTATTAAAAGTCAAATCTTAGATAAAGTGTTATAAGTTTTTGTCTTTGAAATTCAGAAAATCGGAAAAAGACTGTTAAAAATTATTCTGCAGTACTCTTTGACATTCAGAAAATCAAGAAAAGAATATGAAAAATTATTCTGCATTTTTTTAATTGAAAGAGGCGTCAAAAAAGGCAACTACATCAAATTCAAAAACACTCATTTGTCCAAAAGTGGCCGATTTCAAAATATATTTAAAGAAAAAATATAGAATTTACACTCTGTAATACATGTCGATGATGATGATTGTGGTGCTAATGTGGTTTGATTTTGACAATGGTGAATGTTTTTATGATGTATGTGATGACAATATTGATTTTCGCAATTGGAGAGATGATTATGACGATGATGAAATGATATTAGGTATAATAAAACTATTGATGGTGATTGAGTTGACAATGATTTTATGATAAATATTATGTCGATGATTGAATAATTGATAACACTGTCACAAAATGATGTAACAGTTGCAGGTTGCATGCAAATATTTTCTGGTGACGACCTTTTTTATATCCAACTTCATGTCGGTGAGCTTTATTCATGAAAAGCAAGGAACCACTACATAAACCGATGTCTTTAACCCTATAATATCTCCTTTTTGTAGCTATAGACTTTGTAAAAAGAGCAGAAGCGTGGCAATCGTCTACATATATTTGGAATGGAGTCCCTTTAACAGCAGACAAAGCCATTGATGGCGATATTAACGGTAATGCAAATCAGAATTTTTGCGCTCACTTAGTCAGCAGCGACTCCTACTGGGCAATGGCGTTTGGTACATCTGGGCCTGTCAAGGAAGTCAAAATCTACTTAAGGAACGATGTCATCGGTATGATCATTTTTTAAACTTGGTAAAATATAATATAAGATTTACATAGGAAATACACGTAATACAAATTTGTTACATTATTTCCTAATGGCCGAACAATCGCTAAAAACACCTTAATTCTGATATATATTAACTAGTTGCTAATATATATTAACTAGTTGCTTTCGAAAATAAAAATTTGTTATTTCATTATTAATTTTGTAAAGACTGTAAATAAGGAAATCCTTCGCTTACAAATTATATCAGATCGTACTGATAGAACGTCCATTCATATTCATTTTTTTCAGGCGACAACCACGCTACCTACACAATTACCGTGTGCAAAAGTCGTGATGATGTCGTAAATGGTAAAGGAACATTATGTGGCTCATATAATGGACCGGATTCTTACACACATCCTTTCATCTTAACAATAACATGTGCAAACACAATATTTGGAGGATTCTTGAGAATCAACAAAAATTCAAATAATCTCTGTTTATGTGAAGTATTTGTTTATCCTCCAAAGTAAAGCAAGGTCTTCTAATTAAAACAGTTCAGTTTGAAAAAACAAACAACATAGTTATCCAAAATATTCGGATTCCGTAACAATCAGCATAATCTATTTTTCATCTGAAAGTCACTTCTTACAAAAAGTATGCCTTGTTTGAATGACCATTCGATGTGATTTTATTTTTTTTATTTGTTAAAAAGATAGAATACAACCATAATTAACGTTTTGATATTAAAATGACAAATGTTTTGCATCAATGTTTTTCGGTATTTCCTTTATATCCTTTATGAAACATTATAAAATACATGTGTACTTTTTTTTATTCTTGTAACAGTTTAACATAAAAAAGATGACCTGCCGAGAATCTTTTGGATGGCCCTGTGTTGTTTTTTTTTTGTTCGGGGGTATGGGTGCGTTCATTGAATGTTGTCCTTCTTTGTTAATCTTTGATTTCATGATTTATTGAATAAAATAAAGCGGTTGTTTTATCTTTTTATATTTCAAACATCGTTTGATATTTCTTATTGTTAATTATTAGTATAATTGTTTCAATTTCTTTAAATTTCTTGTTACTTACTGATATATATGTCGCTGCAAAAAGATAAGTTTGTTGCGCCACATTTAACACATTGTTTGTTGAGTAAAGTCTAGCTCCTAATTCTTCCCTATTTTAATCAAGATCAAGGCGGGAGTTCGCCTGACACAAACCAACGTATGTAAAATTGTATAAATATTCACAGTTTATTAAGCGTATTACCTTTAGAAATTGAAATTTATTGTTTAAAGAAACTTTTAACAAACCTTTAAAATAGGAAAAAGTTTCATCAAAAGCATACCCAAGTTTGGGCATTTCGTAACATCATTAATTTAAAATTTTCTAAAAATTGCATTTTTTAAATAGTCGAAAGAAATGAAAAAAAAACGCACAAAAATTTGGTTTTGAAAATTTGAAAATATTGGAAAAAAAATCATTTTATCAAGCATTTTGTGAAAAAAAAACAGAAAAATTTTAAAATCGGCCTTTTGTAATATTTTAAACCCAAACTGAAACAGTAATTACAATTATGTAAACGAAGGTTGAGTACCAATAAAAATGCACTTTTTTTGAAATATACACATAGTATGTATTTTACCACAAACAAAAGCCTATTAAAATTAAACGATTTAATACAACAAAAAATTCCAGTTTAAAATATGAGTCTCATATTATTTGGTATGATGGACTCACTTGAATTCTGTTTGTGCTAGAATTATTTAGCTTTTATTTATTTTTCCACCTTTCATCAAAAAAGCAAATACGCAACGGAATCAAATAAAAAGTGTTTAACAGTTGGCTCGAGCATATGGTGTTTTTTAAAGTTTATGCACTTTATACATAGAAAGAACAAAAAGTCGGTCATACAAACTACCATGCCACAAAGAAATCTCCTGAACATTTTGCGTGGGTAAGTCCTTTGGGCCTTATAATGTGTTAAGAAGACCCTTCAAACTAACGGAAAAACGAACCAGCAACAGAAACGAAAGGTTTATAAACGTTTCTCTATAGAAATTTTTTACGAAGTTTCTTAGACAAAATATACTTATAGAACTAATCGCCGGTTCAAAGACCATTAGACGCGGGCATCTTGCTATCATTTCCCTAATGACGCTAGAGCTTTGAGCCCTATATTGCTGTGAAGAAGATCCTCTAAACTAGTACAATCTACTTGATCATTACATCCTTTAAGAACGAAGCGTTCATTACATTGCCGGTATATGTAACTTAAGGACAGAATGCTTGGTAGAAAAGCGAACGCAAGCAATACTTATCTACCGATGCAGTGATTGAGTAAGTTGAACGTGATGGCATATCTGCGTATCATGTCAACATACACTACATACTTTGAGCTAAATGCATCTCACCGGCTATTTGATGGTAGAAATTGACGGATGGTTTGGTTCATGTCACCCTATCTGCATAAACAGTCTGCCAAAATTTTAAACAAACAGTGCAGTCAATGATAATCAACGTATTCCTTACATTGTTAAACACTACCATGTCAAGATTGCGATTTGGCTTATATAATTTTCTCAAGGAAATACTTTTTTCAAATCCTATAAGTACTATATAAATAAAATATTGAACACGAATAGCAAACGTCAACTTAGTTTTTAAAACTTCATTTTTTATGTCATTGCTTTTTTACGCCCGAAATGATTTTGGCGTATATTGTTATGCACTTGGTTGTCCGTACGTCCGTCCGTCCGTTTGTCTGTTTGTCTGGCCGGTCTGTATTTGTTGAACTGGTGGAAGAAAATTGAAATGTTGTGGCAGAAATGTTGAAAATAATGAGGCGATATGCAAAGCCAGGTTTGTCCTTTCTCAGGTCTAGGTCAAGATCACACATGACAAGTCATTTTGTATCAAACGTTTGTGTCTGCTTTGTATCTATTGAACCAAAAGAAAGAAATTAAGAGTTTTTGCAGAAATATAACTCAAATTGAAACAGTATGCGGAACACAACTTTGGGCTTGCTGAGATCAGTATTTTTCTTGCCTCAGGATAAATTGATTTATATATTGATTTATAATTTTATATTGGAATTATCGTGTCCGGTCTGTGGAAGGAAATTGAATGAACTTGGCAGAAATGTTAACCACAATGAGACGATGTGCATAGCGCATTTTTGTCTTTTCTTAGGCCAAGGCCACACTTGGTTATTTTGCATTATTGTCACAATTTTGTTACCGCTCTGCTTTTATGAACCGATAGTGAGAAAAAAAAATTTGGCAGAAATATATATTACTGAATTGATATGCAGAGCGCAGTTTAGGACTACACCCAAGTCAAGGTCAGGGACACTTTGCCTCATATAAATATATATATTACAAAGGTAAATAACAATGTATGAATTTATTATTATGTTTCCTCCCAATACATAGTTATGTATGTTATCTCTCTATATTTCCCAAAATCTATTACTTTATAATGTATAAGCATAGCAATTTGATTTTCGATTATTTAAAGGCATACTTTTGTCTGCTTTTGAATTTCTTGTATAACATTATCGACATGATTTTATTTTAATTGTATCATTTAAAAACCAGCATGAAATGGAGACACAGGCAGAATTTTAATTTCATCGTTTTGAACTTTTCATTCATTAACCTGTAAATGTCCTCAAAATGAATACATTATGCAGTCACAGGAATAAAACTTTTCTCATTATCAAGGATAAAATGTTGGTTTCCTAACATGACCCACGTGGGTCAGGTTAGAGCGTTTAAATTTCACAAAAGTTGTCACAGTGAAATCTATAAACCTTGTCAAATGAATGAATAAGGGTTTGTTTCAATCATACTATGACCACAATATATGTTATTGGAACTTCCAGGTTTGTTCAAGTCACAATGACACATGACTAGTTTTGACTACTCGGTGATTCTGTCGACGTCTTAGATTCTTTCAACATATATAGATATATTTACGGTTCAAACCCAAAATTTATCAAATTTATACAGAGACTTATGCTGGGACTTTTACAAATGTCATTTTAGCGTGATTTGAGTATATAAGTTAATTTTGTGATATTTTTGTCATTAATTTGCCTACGTATCCCTTTAATATTGTTTTCAGTCAGTATATATATTCTGTGACAATTGCATGGAGATAAATAATAACCACTCTAATAGTGAAATAGAATATATTGCGGACAAATGTAAAAAAATGCATATCATCTCTGTTTAAAAATTATTTTTGATTACTTTAAATTTTATTTAATTCAAAAAAAATTTGAATTCGGGTGTATATTGTAACGCCTATGTGGTGCTCTTGTTTCAATTAGATATTCAAAATAAAATATTTATGGAAATTTGTGCTATTTGGATATGTGTTACTAATTAAATGTAATATTTGTCCAATAATCACACATACAAACACACACAAGCAAACGCAACTTCGCGTGTAAGGTGGCAAAATCTAAAATTTATTAAAATATCTAAATATTTATGCATGAAAATATATGATAACTTTGCGATATTCAAAACTGTTGTTGCGATTTAAATGAAGTTTAAAAAACTGAGTTAAGTCAAATTACATTAATTTTGATCCCAAGACGTAGGATTACGGAAATAGGGAAAAGTAGATTGCTTGGCTGAAGGAACAAAGATACATGTACTTTATCTGTGACAAATTGTAACCAAATATTGATTTCATGGACCATTATCATTTGAATGTAAATCAACTTTGGACAAAATAGGAAAACAAATATCAACAAGGTCAGGACGATGCTCATCTTAATGCAACCCTATTGATCAAGTTAACTTACTTTCTGTACTTTCTCAGATTCATTTAAAACCCTCATTGATAACTAAAGAAAAACTTAAATAAACTATTCTTAGACTTAAACAAACTAATTTTATACACTTGCACTGGCTCATTTTAGGCGTGCAAAAATTGAATGTATGATACAAAAATAAAACCTTGCTAGTGATGATGTTCATATATAACCTTCATGTGTCAATGTGCCGTTATGTTTAAACAAAAATATATTGATTCAGGAAGACCTTGATTTTTTTATTTTATAGTTACGAAAAAATAAATATTTAATATTCAATTGACAGCAATTTAAGCAATTTTGTAATTACATTCTGTTATCATATTTCATAGTCAACGTTGGTGAAGAGAAATCATCGACTTCATAAACAATGTGCGTGTTGATGTAAACATTTCCCATGGCGACAACAACTGATACCACTGGCAAAATAGTATGTCAATATTTTATTTAAAACAGATGCAATCTAAAACTTATTCAGCAGCAGTTTTAATTTGTACGGACAATAATTTGCTATTTGTCATGCATGTAAAATATTTATGAATATAAAATATTTGAAGAGGACCGTATATCGAATTGTTTGAAATAAACAAGCAATAACCTCGATTCAAAAGATAAATTTCAGAAAATGAAAAAGATTCTTTTAAATTTATAAAAGAGCTCGATATGTACAATTCAAACTAAAAAAAATGATATGAAACACAATGAAAGGCGGAATGCAGAATAACGACAAAAATCGAACTGAAAACTTTTCATGAAAACAATATTTAGATAAAAATGAAAAATTATATTGTTTGAAATGAAGTGAATATAAAAACGTAACATTTACCGTTTACATTGAATATATTCACATTGAATACATTTTAATAGTAAATCGTCTCTTTAGTGCAGTAACGGCTAAACGTTTTTAAATTTAATAGAAGCTAACCTTTTACTGAACTAAGGTGACGAATATTGGACATATTTCACTTCGGACAGATATATGTTTGATTTTGTCACCCTGGCCTTGCAATTTTTTAAAATATTCAATGATTCACCTACTCTTTATATTAAAATATATTTTCAATATACACTCACAACTTACAAATATCCCTACACTCTTAGCTCCAGACATAATATCAATTAAATGCTCCAGTACGTTAATATAGGGCTGCATGAGCTTTATTTACGCAACAAAGGAAACATAACACTGACGTATTATCAACCCTGGTTCTCATAAAAAAACATCAGAACGTAATTGCCATGTTTGAAACTTTTCAATAAAATTCTTTGTTTG